CAGGTGCAGATGCAGACGTAGACGTAGACGTAGACATGTACGTTGACTTGGACGTAGACATTGACATAAAACAGGCTCCCATGCACATGTGCGACGTTTTCTCGACTCTTTTAACTATTTATGTCTTTTAGAATACTAGTTTTTTTTCCAACAATCTATAATATTGAATGTTAAATATCTGAAAAACAGAAAGAATTCGCAAGTCAGGAAATCAGAGACATACTTTCCAAAACAGAATTTGCTAAAGCACACGAGGACTTCTATATTTATGACATAGACATATACGAAGAATATAGCTATGATGACAACTACGATGATACTTCATCAAGCTGGTAGAGTATTAATATATATACTAAAATAAAATAGAAAACACAAGTTTTATTTAATTTATACAAAATGTGTCCGTCTTCCGAATAGCGAAATAAAATAAAAATAAAATTCAACAGCTTCATTCGATCTCATTAACTCTACCCTCTCTACCCACCAATCTATTCAATTTCATCTATTCATCCAAGCAACGCACACAAACACGTCATCACTCAATAGCAATTGCATTCACGAACTATATATATATATATATATATATATATATATATATATATATATATATATATATATATATATATATATATATATAAACGTAATTTTATATGTATAAATGGAAATAAAATTGATAAACTCACATATATACATATAAACACACAGATACATAGATATAGACATACTGTTTTACGTTTTATTACAATCTTCTGTTGAAGGTATCCTACTGATGGTTCGGACAACAAGGCTGATGTAAACGATACGGTAATCTAATTTATATAGTGATTGAATAATGTATTCCTGAACACGAAAATATTCATTGTGTTTATATATTGCTTTTTTCTTTAGATTTAATTTCCAACATGCATTTGATATACTAAATATATGGAATGCCAATTACATCACATACACTTCTTGCTTATAGAGCAGAGACTGTATGATCATTTCAAGCTAATCCTAATCTAATTGTTTTCATTTATCGGTTAAAGATAGAACTCTCGACAACTGCCAACATCTCAACTTACTCGCATAATGTGGATATATACTTTATGGAGTTCAACAAATTGAACAAGTTGGTAAAACTAAACTAAACGCTACTCCTGGTTAATGATTTATATTATGTAAACATTTGGTTTATATATATATATATATATATATATATATATATATATATATATATATATATATATATATATATATATATATATATATATATATAACTGTATAATATACAACGCCTTATACCCATACTGTGGCTAAACATAATATTTTCATCCGCGACAGATCCACTCGTGCTAAGCTTGGCCATCAGATTGGCACTATGTTGATGCATTGTTCATTTGCCGGACAAGTATGCGAAGCAAAGTAAGTTGTTTAAGACTACTGCTTATTTCAGTCAAAATACATGTATGCATATTACTCAAACTGCTCTCATCACTGCTTCGCTGTAATCGATGTTTCTCGTGTTATTGACAATTGATTAATGCGTTCCTTCAACGTCCTTTTAAATATAAAAACACATTGAGAACATGATCTCAACTGTCCTAAGACATACAAATAAAACACGTAGAGTCAAGTATTTTTAATAATAGGTTCTTAAAAGCTATAAAGGAAGAAAATAAAATAAACTTGCTTTCGCCAACAAAAGCTCACAAAATCCCTAGAATATTTTAGCGACCACGGATTTTTAAGTAAGTTTGCTTTATTTATTTTTTTCGGTGCGTTTAAAAGCAATTTATTAAAATGGGTTTTTATGTTTATATTTTTTTCAAGTTTTGAGTAATCAGTTCTCAATGAAGTTGGCAAAAAATACTTGCCTTAAAACCCGATCAGTACTTTCGAAATGACAGTTATCTGCCACGTCTTTATCTGCTCGGAAACCAGTCGTCCGTGACAGATCACTAATGTAAACAGACTATTCAAGAAATCGTTTAAAATTAATTCTGCTGTCTCTCCTTTTGATAATAAATGTATTGATTTTTAAATAAAATGGTAACGATTAATTACCCAGATAGTTAGATTAAAAGATAGATTTCCTTTCTTTTGTCATCTGAGAAGAACCTATCTATAACGTTGAATCAAAATCATTGCAGTAGAATGCTCTAAAATTCAGTGACAAGATTAGCCAAAACGCACAGACACATTTAAAAATCAATCAATAAACAAGCAGAAAATTTTGAACTTAATGAAAGGTTATAAAGAATGCTAAGCAAAGTCCACCCTCTCCAGGAAGCTTAAATAGACGCGCATGTTTATTTGTAAAAAAAATACACAAAAACCAGTATATTTAGACATTATCTCTAATAATATACTTGTTAATTATAACTTGTATTGCGTCTTAGTATATTATTATGAAACTGAAATTAAAATACACTGTAACATTAACAACTTAAAGAACAGACTTTGAGATATTTAGGCTACAAGAGATTACATATGCTTTTAATATGGCGATTGTATTACAGAGATTTTAAACGATCATTCTCGGCAAAATATGGCAACTGCTACACACTACAGAAGAAAACGTTTTACGCTAATAGAAGTGGACCAGATGGAGGTAAATAAGTATAAAATATGTGACATTTACCGAGGTTTAGAATTGTTCTGTATCCGATAATTTGCAGGTTACCGAAACTCTACGGGCAATTAGTTTTTGGCTTCTGCGCCCAATTTTCAATGTCGTATATTTTTTATGTATTTTCAAATTATGTTGCCGTTTCCCTTATTTATTTTTAAATATTTTTCTTTAGAAGTTTACATTATCATCTCATGTAATGTGGTTTTGTGATATTAACTTTAAGAATATTATTTTTCTAAGCCCTATACAGTATTGATCCAATCGGTGGCTGCAGTGTTACTTACAATCATCAGTGAGGCTACCGGCTCCTCGCACCCCCGAGTGAAATATCATTTATTTAGAAATATGTTTGAAAAATAAGTTAACACAGCTTCTGTTACGACTTAAAATATTTGCATTAATTGTCTTCCCCTATTTATTTCGTGGTTGACAATAAGGCCACACATTAGGCCATACATAAACACAAAATGTCTTCTAAAAACGAATAACTCATTAAGCAAATTTCTAAACAAGCATAAATCTGTCAACGAACGTGCGTCGTGTTGTGTGACTTGTTTTTCTCTTAAGCCTTGAACTGTGTGTATGTCTCTTTGATGGGGAGAAATGTAAACGTTGCTATATGTATCTATATGATGAATACTCCTATAACTAACACTTCAACTATAAAAATATGATGAGGACGGAAACACTCTTATTTTCCGACAACACTAAGTTAACGATATCAACAACTTCGATCATAAAATATAATTAACTTTATTATCAAATACTAATACTAAACGAGCTAGAACTGCACTAAAAAATATACAACACATCCTTTCTCTACAACGGCTAACCCCCAGCTGTCTTCACTCCTGCGTCCAACATCATCGGTAACTTGTCGCGTCACGCTCGAGCAAAAAATATTTTATTAAACACGCTCACATACTCTCGAACCAAATCGTCTACCGTCCTTATTAGACTTTACCAGTCTAGTCTTATTTTATCTATCTACGCCAGTGGTTCCTAAACTTTTTCGAGTGGCGACCCCCTTTTATAAAAAGTAAGTGACCCGCGACCCCCATTGAATTAAAAAAGCTGAAATTAGTATGGAAATGAATAAGCACTAAATAAGATTTTCTTGTAGACTTTCAATATGAACTACTCTTGATAACTGTTTAACACCATGAGTAAAATTGCATGCTATTTACTAAACATTTGAGTTTAAGTTTTTGTGAACGCCAACCTATGTCATTCAATTTATTTCTTAATTGTGTTATTAATCGGAGAATAGTGTTGAAAATCTATTCTCGGAAAGTCAATCAATTTTTCGTTTGGGTATGAATGGTGAGTACTACACCAAAATTGTGTGTTCAGTTTTTCATCTTACGCGAAATCATTCTGCAAATCAAAGAATTCATCTTGTAATTCATCGGGAACTGGCAGCATCAAGGGAAGAAAAGAATGGGTAATACGACAATGCAGATTCTTCTTTTTTTCAGCTCATAGAAATAGCGCTGCAGTTAGTTTTCACCGAAGTGATAATATTCGTTCATTTTCTCTGAAGCTTATGTTAAAGTTCGAACACATCTGCTAGGTATGATACTCTCTCCAACCACTCTATGTCGTTTTAAGTATACCAAAATGGCTTGTTTCCTTTGCACTTCCAAGAACAATTTGATTTCAGATTTCAGTTCAAAAACACGATTCACAACATTTCGTTTGACAGCCAGCGTACTGTAGTGTAGAAGCAGAACATCGTGATCTTTATTCATGTCTATGCTCAGTTCTTTGAAGGCTACAGATTTAATATAATTTACGACTTATACTATCAATAGAGTCTTGATGGCAAGGACAGTGGTTAGGGAGCTAAATCTTTGCAGTTTTCTGAAAGCCCGATTATGACCTAAACATAGATGGCGCACCATCCGTACAAAATCCACAACCGTTTTAACCCATTTTAATCATCCAGTTTAAAAAAACGTATTGATTTTCTCCATGCTATCTTCACAAAATAGCAGCTCTTCTTTGCTAAATTCTGAATGAATATATTTCACAAAGAAAAGCAACTGCGAACACGAACTCACGTTTGTTGATTTATTAACTTGAAAAGCAAACAATGGTGAAAGCTTGATTTCAATAAAAATGTGTAATTTAACATTTATAAGCCGCTGAATAGTATTATTAGGATAAACTCGTGATGAGAACAACTTTGGACAGTACGCAGTGTTTCTTCTGTATTCCATTTCCAGTGATGTTAGTAAAGCCGAATTTCAAATATTCTTCTAAATATTTATGTTTTGTTTGCCATTACTAAGGTTTAGTATACTAGTTGGCGACCCCACCAGAAAGCCTTTCGCGACCCCCAGGGGGGTCGCGACCCCCAGGTTGGGAACCCGTGATCTACGCTATGACAGTGTCCATATCCTCTCATTATATAGGTCTGGAGCTGACTGTATACCTAGAGACGGATAAATACCTTCCAGGTATCACCAGTGGTGAAGGTGCTCAGGTGGTGATACACGAGCAGGGTACAGTCCCTTTCCCTGACGAGGAAGGGATTGCTGCAGCATCAGCGGCTCAAACTCTGATAGGATTGAAACAGGTGTGTCGCTTTGTTAAGATTTAGATTACGTCTATTTTACAATTCATATTTAGAATTTAAAGTCTAATCGCTATTCGGAATGTATCAAAATGTTAGCCAAAAATTGTAAAGTATTTCGACAACTCTCTTACCATCATTGTAACGTCATTTTTGTTAACAAAATAGGATGAATAGAAACAAACACGGATATACATTTAAAATATATAACATTATGTAAAAACTGTATCAATTTCAAGTTTTGTAAATTAATCTACACGTTTGTGATTTATAACAATTAATTTTAACTTTTTCCGGTTTTTGCTTTTAATATTTTGCTATTAATGATAGCTAACATGTTACATATTCATTTATGAAATTCCTTTTGCTATGAAGCATTATATACATTTCAAGCTAAAGATACGAATAATTGCTTATTGATAGACATTACATTTGTATTGTCCAATACATAATAACTAATTAATGAACCTTGTTTATAAGTTATCTATTGAGCGTTTAGACTGGCCTTACGGGAAATGCAATCAGGACACCGAGTTTAAGAGAAAATACGGTGTCAAATTTACACGAAATGTAAGTCAAATATTGAACAATTTTTACAAATACTTTTTAAAGAGAAAGTAAGTTCTCAAATACATTATTAAGTAACGCGTTTGCATTTTTATATTTTTTACTTACTTTTAACCTATGGACTGAATTGTTTTGCATAGTTAATTGTGTATGTTATACAATGAGAACCTATTATATCCATACTTTTTGACGATCATCCTTTTTGATTAAAGTACATGTAGTTTATTAACATGTCCTAAATTTTGTTTTGAATTATTTAAATTTGACCATGTGTCTGAAGTTTGCCAGGTGAAAATTAATTAAATTTATTAAAATAGATTGATACAACAGATTGATAAAACATTAGTACTTTCCAGTTTAACAAAGATTCCACATTTATATGTTTGTTTAGACGAAGGTCGCATTAATGTTTGACCTATTAATGTGTGTAAAAATAGAACTACCTTTAAATTCTCCCAGTTGTGCCAGAAGATCTGCCAGGCAAACAAGGTCAGGGCCGTCTGTAACTGTTACGACACAAGTAACCTGGAAGTTAACGACGTAATGAAGATTCCAGACACTCTCAAACCCTGTACAAATCAATCAGGTACGATGAAGTCGCTATCATGTTTGATAGGGTTACCATTAATTTGTTTCAATACACAAAGTGTAATAATTTTGAACATTGTTAAAGGGAATTTTGAAATAGATAAATGTTACACAGAAAATTATGTTTTTAAAAAAGGATTTACGCGCTAAGAAATTCGGCTTGTAGATTTCCAATGTATGCCACTAAACATAATAAAATAATAGGTCATTTTCCCGGTTGTGCATTGTTCTAAAAATATGTAGGTTTAAAATAAATTCGATGCTTCAAACATATATTGCATCGTATAAAAATATACACATTTTCTCACTGACAAGTTGTAAACGAGTTTAAATATTATTGAAATCATTAATACTGATTTTTACACAAATAACAGGAAAACGAGGAAAGAATACCTAAATGATGTATACGAATCTAACAGTTGAAGAATATAGAATATGAATGCAAAATAATAAATTTTTAACCTAATTTAAAAGAAAAATACTACAATTCAAATATACAATAATGCTTGTAAGAAGAAAGCATTGTGCTGTCTCTGCATAGTTATTTAAATATATACAAACACACATTCACACACATATATAGGCCTACTTCTCTCTTTTGCGACCGATACATATGTAATTTTAATAAGCGGTAATTGGTTTTTACGCGGAAGGGAGGGAGTGGACTTAAAAGGAGCAGATAACAGTCTTTTCGGCGATCACGAGCAAATACTTTTAGTCGTATGGTTTGCCTATTTCGTTTAGAACTTGAAAGGTTTTTTCTTCAAAAAAAAAAATTAAAATAATTAGTTTTCAAATACAGTGAAAATAAAATCAAACTTGCTTTCAGTAATAACATACACTTTTTTATATATTTGTTTTATAATGTGTTAAATAATGTTTCCTACCCTCAGAACTGCAGTGCGTTACCCGACTTTCGTCAAATGTTTCAAACGATGATACAATATGTGATTGTTCAAGTCCTTGCAGGTAAAACAATATTTTATGATATTGTTTGTTTGATTTATAAGAATTTTGTTTATATCAGCAATTAAAACTAATGTTTAAACATTTTATTAATTTTTATGTTTTAACGCATTTATTTATAGTGTTTATATGCCGTTTTATAAGTACGAATCTCTGTGGGTGCTTTTTTTTTAATTTAAAGCGAACTAGAATATGTGAAGAGTGTGTCTTCTAGGTTTTGGCCAAACTCAGATACCGCAGTGAGTTATAGTGTATTGTTCTTATACATTAAGCTATACTTTGTACTTCGACTTTTTATGAAAAATGTATCATGCTTTTATATTTTGGTAAGATATACTATAATTTCAATGTAAAATCATTTGCCCATTTACGGCTATAGCCAATATTTTATTATTAAAAAAATATCTCCAGAAATTTTTGCTTCAGCAAATTTGCTTAACTAAGAGCTTAGAAGTTTGTAATCATCATGTTTACCTGTAAGTATCACACATACATATTTACTTTGATAATATTGTTTTTTTTCTTAGTAGGTTAAAACGTAAAGCTGTATGCACAAAGAAATATTTTATAGGAAATTAAAACGGGAGCAATCTACCTTAAATTTTCTCGTATATTATTTTTTTTTTAAAATAGAATCGCGTAGAAAAAAAACACCTACCAAATGAACCAAAATAGAGCGGAAAATAGGTACTTTATACAGGAAAAATTAATATTATTTTAAAATTTTAATTCAACTTTCAATTATCTCACATTTTATTGCACAATGCATTGCTATTGTGTTAGATCTATGTAAAGAAAGATTCGATAAATAAATAAATAAATAAATAAATAAATAAATATATATATATATATATATATATATATATATATATATATATATATATATATATATATACATATATATATATATTATATGGGGACTTCTCGGAGCCGCAAGAGCTTCAAATTTGGCTCATGCCTCGGGCCGATAGAATACGGGCAGCCGATGACGATCGAAGAGGGGGTCAAAACTGACTTCGACTGACCGATGCCTTATTTGAGCTATATATCGAAACAAAATTCCCTTGTAGGAATCTCTTCAGAACTCCTGAGGTCGTAGATCGACCCTCGGGACTAAAAAAAATGAACTATGTCATCTTCGGGAAAACTTTGGAACGCCTTTAGAACTGACCTGTCCGAATTTTCCTATATAAATATTATTAATTTGGTGAAAAACAACTTTTACGGTACTTTGGCTCTGTACATGAGGCTCAATTAGACACCAGAGTAAATGAATCGGCCTTATCGGTCAGCCTCTGCTCGCAAGTCGAAGGCTTGAGTGACAGCCAGGGAAATTCTCCTAATTTGAGCTATATAGCGAATAAAAATTCCCTCCTAGGAACCCTTTGAAATAACTTAAGGTTGTACACAAAGATATTTTGTACGGCAGTGGAAAAACGCATATAGATGTCAGACTATCCATATCTGGGGAAAATCTTTAAATCGATCGAATTTGACCTGTCGTATTTCCCTATACAATCTTTGTAATTTATCTGAAGAACAGGGTAATTTCAACAAAGATTTTAGGTAACTTCTACTCTGTACACCTGACTAATTGCTTACACCTCGATAAATTGTCAGGCTATATGGAAAAGCTGTCGTTCAGACTCTAAGCCCTCAATGAGGGTTTAAAAATGACCGTGAGTGAAATTCGTCTTATTTGATCTACATTTCTGATAAAATCGAACGACCACCCCTGATATTTTTGTGAGGTCGCAGACCGACATGAAACTAACAAAAAAGCTTTTTACCTGTCGGAATATATATATATATATATATATATATATATATATATATATATATATATATATATATATATATATATATATATATATATATATATATATATATATATATATATATATATATATATATATATATATATATATATATATATATATATATATATATATATATATATATATATATAACATTCTCGCTGTTTAACAAGTTATTTCCCCACACGGATTCCAACACTTTCAATTTACCTTAACTCATTTTTCTGTTTATCCCTTTTAATTTCGTATTATCACATATGCAATATATGAGAGCCTGTAAATATTCATCATGTACTTTTGTAAAATCCTTCGTCTTCATTAGATGATTGAAACTAAGTAAAATATGTTGATATTGATATATTGGCTTTAAATGACAAATACATGTTTTCAAATATTTAAAAAAAAAATTCCACATAACAACCAAACACCAAGTAATTAATCATTCAAATTTTCAAATGTCTTTTATATGTATTTATTTGTATGTGTATTTATTTATACATCACACAATCATAACAAACATAATGAAGTCATACTAGCTTTAATATTGATAGTATTTAACACAAATGTCATATTATACGAATTTATGAATACGAATAACTACCAACATTTAGCTCTAAGAACCTCAACATAATAATAAGAAGCATGTTGTTTTGTATTTAAAAGTTTCACCCATGAAAGTTTTGTAACTTTTTTTATATGTATATTCACATAACCGCTTAGGTATGACTTTCTGAAGCTCAACATTTATTTTGAAGATTTGAACTATGAGAGGATATCTGAACAACCTGACTACGAGGTATAAACTTAATGATAGTTTTTATGGTAGAATCATCATAATTAAATTAGTATTGTTAAGTAGTATAAGGCCATAATTCTCTGGTGATTCCGATGATTGGGGTCATTTTAGATTTGGCTCAGGTTTCTAAAACTAAACTTTCTTACATGTGGGCGGGTAGTTACAACAAACAACATGTGTTATGCCACATATAAAAAAAACTATTGCCATGTCCACTCTTGAATATGGAGCTGAGACATGATACATCTCCAAGATCAGCACAGAGAATATACAGGCCAAATCTTGGCATTAAGGTGACAGGACAGAGAGCCTAACAGAGACCTATGCAGAAGGAATAGACAGGAGCCTATGGCATTATAGACAAGATGAAAGAAGTGGAGCACATGTAGAAAGCACAAACACACTAGACACATCAGACGTTTGTGTACGGCCTTCAGTGGAGAGGATGACTAAGGCAAACACGGAGCTGGAATTTTCTTTAAAAAATACTGGGATATCTTGGCAGACGGCAAAATATACAGCCCAGGACCATTCCTATTGGAAGACTATACATTAAATTGAGGTCCTACACGGAAGAAGGAGGACTAAGTCAATTGACGACAGGGGAGCAGAACATTGCTTCTATTTAGATGTAAATTGTATGCTGTAAAATTACTTAACTCGCCTACAATGGTAGCCATGTCAACGTGTGACGTCTTTAAATTAAATTATTTTTTTAAATGTAAAATAATATAATATTAAGGATAAAATACCCTAGCGTGAGACATACTTTGCTGGAACCATAGAAATTAAATTAACTATGTCTTTATATTTTATAATAAACCCAAATTCGCTTTGCCTTGACGGAGTTTTCGCAACCAAAAATATCTCAATTTATCCTGCAACTATATGCGATGGGTTAAAAATACACTATTTTTTTTCATTAGATTGTCATTTCTCAATTTTACTTAGAATAAATCGTGTTACCACATGTAAATCTCAATCTTACATAATTAATGTCTCAAAATTTTCTCTAAAACAGATTATCCAGATGTTCTCTGACGTGGGTGGTACCATTGGACTGTGGATAGGCTTGTCTCTCTTGAGCCTATTTGAGCTCCTACATCTGATCGTTGATGTTGTTGTACTAGTGGCCACCCACATGTGCAGAAAAATTTAGAACATTTGTAAACGTACCAGAGCTTCAATGGATTTCAATACGCTCCAAGTTTAACTTTAACTTAAGGAATAATTTGTTTACTACTTATAAGCACTTTTATTTGTATTTTATAACACCTATTTTTATATTATATAAATATATTTCACAAACTAAAAGGCCTATCGAAATTAATTTCGACAAACCTAGTTTTATTTTCAAAGAATTGATGTTTCATAAAATTGTATTTTTCTAATGATATAAATATTACCCTCATATATACATATAAACAATTTGAAAAAAAAATATACATTTAATATTTTAAAAGTGAATTCTAAAATGAATCGTCTCGATAGTATGGAAAATTATGTGTGCCCGCATCTGTCAACCATCACGAACAAACAAAGTTGAACATGTAATTATACAAGAAAATTGTAATTAAAAATGTAATGAAGACATGATTATATTGAACAACAATCACAATCTATTTATTTAGAGTACAAACAAATGTAATACTGTCTGGTTTAAAGAAAATAATAAAAATACCAAGCAGCAAATGTATATAAGATTTACACCCTAATCTGTTTAATAATGCTACTTAAAAGCCGACTCCTGAGTCTTTGTTTAATGCTGCTTTTTGACAAGTCTTTCTATTTATATGATTATTATTAAATGTCACTATTGTATGTAAAAGTATATATTTTATATAAAGTTAGACGTATATTATAATCGATTTGTTTTGCACCGATTTCAAAAAAGTCAATGATCACCTAAAAATGAAGTGTAACACAAATGATGCCATACATTTAGCACAATTTTTGTTGTATTGTTACACAACGTCACAGAAAGCCAGACACACTGATGCCACGAAGTTGTCCTTAACACTAACATTTTTCTAAAATCTTAAGTAAATCTAAAGTAAATTAGACATTTAAAAATATTTTTTTTCTTTAAAAAACTACCAAATCAACGTTTAATCAATGAGTGCCAACCTCGCCTCGTCACATACCCGGTTTAGAGACGCCATTGCTATTCCGAGGCCTTATGGTAACACATGGAAAGATAGCTTGATTGAGACCCCGGGCTATTGTAGAATCCACCTGTGGCGTGGGTTCACCTGAGAGGTTAATTGGCCATGACCTTCACGAGTGTGTAGATTACGTATTACATGTAGCCATCTTGTATATGAACGTGCTGTAAAATCTTTGTATATTTATTGAAAGAAAATCTGTAAAAGTCTATGATATTTTACTATACCTTTTTGTATTAATTTAGTCAAGACCACACGACAGATAGTTGTAAGCACGTGATGTACTGAAGCTTTATGATATTTTTTTTATTTTAACTACATAATTTTTAATACATTTTGATCTGCATATTCATACACATGTATCGTTGATTATTTATGACTGTATTTGTCAAAGAGAAGTAACTGAGTAAAAAGTAGCTTTTTAAACACATCACATCATGAAATAAAAAATGGGCGCAACTCTGATGACGGTAAAGCGCATTATTGCTACGGTTATTTCCCCTGCATACTTTACAATGCGAGATTTCTGTTTTCACTCAATGATCAAGTGTCTTGTTTCCTACTGTTCGTGTACAATTTACTTTCTTAACGGGATTATTTATTACTTGCTACATTATTTAAATCCGTAGTACTACCGATACGACGTGCAGTATCATATGGCACTACTCCCCAATAAATGAGTGCACGAACAAACAAATCAATATTTTATGTCAGATGGAAATTCGACACAGTAAGAGGTTGTAACCCCGATAATAAACGGACAAGTGACTACAGTATCCGCCTTAGCTTAGAAGTTACTGGTACGATACGTGTCTCATTTCTGAAATTGTGAGATCTAATGACAACATTTTACGCAGATTATTTTATGTACAAAGTGATCAGTTTTATGATATTTGATGATAACGGTTGATTCACATTTTTAATATTAATTTTTTTTTAAATTCACATTTTTTGGAAATCACATATCTAAAACTATATACTTACTTATAAACGGGATATCAAAGAGGGATATTTATTATATTTTTCTAAATCCTTTGGATTTTAAAAAAAAGTAAAGTCAGCTATTTTTGTTATTTAACAAAATTTTATTAGAACATGTATTTTACAAACGAAGAAGTTTGAGTTGTACCCAATTGTGTGGTGGTTTGTGATAATAAGGAGAAGACAGCACCAATAAGTATTGCATTTTATACGTTGGGCTAGTCTGGGGAGAAATATTTAACTACCTTATACGTTGTAGTGGTGGGTAAAAATACGTCATGATGTGTCATGTACACAATAGTTTTCGAATCAAGTCAAGTTAAAAACAGGCGACGACATAGTCATGTAGTCAGTAAACTTGCTAATACCACAGTCATCAGATGACGACGTAATCTTGTAGTCAGTAAACTTGCTAATCTGACAGCCATAAGTTGACGACGTAATCTTGTAGTCAGTAAACTTGCTAATCCGACAGTCATCAGATGACGACATAGTCTTGTAGTTAGTAAACTTGCTAATCCGACAGTCATTAGCTAAGTACCCAGGCTTGGGAACACACTTCACACCCCGACCGACATGCCCTTCATGTGCGTGATACACTGGTGAGAAAGCTAGTATATACTTGTCAAAAAATCACCGACTTAGAGGTACGCCGCAGGGAAACAGCAATCATGCTTTACAAGGCTGCACTTTGTATCGACAGACACAGTCAGGACTAACAACTCTTCTGAGAGATAAATTGTCAGGGGCACTCGTTGAGTTGAGACGACTGCATCATTTCGTTAGCGAAGCTGGACTTGTGTGATCTTCATGTAGTCACATATAAGGAACGAAGAAGGAAAAGTAATGATTACAGCTTTACGCTAGTTGAAAACTTCTTCTAAAAATGACACGTTTATTACAAGAATTAATGTATCGCAGCATAGTTTATCTCTAATGAGCTGTGTGAGTTAAAAGGGAACATGATCCGCTTTCTGACGTCTGACATAAGGTCGTTCAACCCATTTTGTTTTTAAAAAATGTAAAGCAATAACACATAATTATGTGTGTGGTGATGTAATGTGTATGAAAGGTGAATACGTGGAACGGGTCACTGCGGGTGTGTATGTAGCATGTGTGAGACGCGAGGCCGGGTGTGTTGACATGTATGTTGTTGTACGGAGTGAACGAGGGTACAAGGGAAGCGACTGGTCGGGTGACAGTGGCTGTGTTGTGAGCGGGAGAAAGGTGGTGTGTAGGGATGAATGCGGACGGCAGTTGAAGGTTGGGCACGAAAGAAGGCAGGTTGATTTGGTGACTGAAGGATAGAGAAATAAAGGACTGTGATATCTAACTGCAATTGTGTTGTGCATTTCTTGGATATTCATCAACCCTCACAATGTGTATTTAAATGTAGGAATGTAGGACTACTATTGCAAATCGATATTATTACTCCTATGTTTATTGGGCAGAAATCATGTCGAATGTCGTGTGAGCAAAATAAAATCTAGTCAGCATGCTATCTTCTGCCCAGTGTTACACTGACCACAGGTCACGTGATCTCACACTTCCTCAACCCCCTTGGTTTCCACGTGTTCACGGGCTATTGATTTAAAAACAATTAATTTATTTTACAAACGTGACAAATTATTTTTCTGTAAAAATGACATTTAAATAACTAGAATGATTTGCTAACTAGCATATCAGATGTGATAGTATCAGACTGAGTTTAAAATTGTAATAAACGCATATCAATAATTATCGCAACCGGATAATTGTTTCGTTGAAAGTCATTAGTGTTTTGTAATTTTAACATCTCCGCATCTTGATGTTCAACGGAACAACAACAAACTACATCCGTTTCTGTCACTACTTGACCAGTCATCTGAGATTAATTAGTTCTGCTACACTCTCGCACATGATTGGTTACTTGAACCGTTTTAATTTCACGCTAATGAACCCAGTTATTGATGGCATTCTGTATCCTGCTAGCTCAGTTTTAAGCCACAGCCCTAGCGTGTAGGTCAATTGAATGTTATGCAAATCAACATTTATATCGTGTTGTGTTTGAATTGAAACTTACTTTAAAAATACCATTTCGACTTGTGATTTGATAAGAACCTTCATTTAATAGAAGATTCAAAGGTATTCAATGCTGGATCATTTGCCAACAACGTGATAGATAGAATAAACGAGTGATCACTAAACATTAACAATGGATACTGTTCGCCCATTTAAACAAGAAACAAAGACCACATTTGCAAAGCTTTCAAAGATGATAAAGACAATTAAGGTAATTTTTGTAACAAAAAAAAACTATTACTTGCACGTTAAAAGATATTTATTTAACGAATATATTTCATTAAAACTTTAGTTACATTTTTGTCTTTAAAGATAGTTTTGAATGATTAGTAATCCGTTTGAAAAATAAACGTATTGTTTAATCTATGGTGATCTTTATGTTATCGAATCTCTATAGAATCACGAGTGTTGATTTGTTTTACAAATGTGTATTATTCATTAAGTATTATTGTAAAATACGTGGTAATAATAAACCACTTAACTTCAGGTATTTTGTAGAACACCTGATATTCGATGATATAAATCTGCCTATTCTTTTGATATTGATCTACTTTTAAATTATTTTGAAACATTGCAATAGACACATCTATATAGTTGCTTTTTAGCCATGTTAATTGTTTACTAACTTAATTACTACTAGAGTCTACACTGTAATTAATTATTTGATTCGAACCTTACGTCCAGTTGAGGAAATGAAGTAGAAGACACCTGTTTCTCTGAATTAGGCATATGAAAGGATAGTGTGTTATACACTATGCCCAGCCGCCTATGAATTCTTTAACGTCAGTTAGGTACCCATACGAGCTGTGTGGACTCAGTTTTTTCTTACTTGAACTCGGATTCAAACTCGATTTACACATTATAGACTGAAGAATATTTGTTTAAAAAATGGAAATTATGTCACCCGTCAGATTAGCTACAAAAAAATATATTTTGAAATACTTTTAATTTATTAATGTATTTATGATTTAAATATACTTATAAAATAAAATACGTAGCTTAACATTAAACGAAACGATCAACATAAATAATAGGATTGAGTACTAGATTTACCTATTTGCTTTGATAACGAGAATGAAATGTCCTCAACTAGGCTAGACTCTTGAGACATTTTTATTTAACTATCTTCAAGGTTGCGCCTTACAATAAACCGAACAAAGAAAACGATGCTGGGTCAGATGCCTCTAGTAACGAGGGAAATACATCGTTCAGCAAAAACTTACGGGAAGTGTTCGTAAAGTATGCAGAGATCGCCTCTATGAACGGCGTTAATGTGATCAATACGGCCAAAAACTCTAAAGTCAAAGTCATTTGGTTGTTGCTGCTGTTAACGACCATGGGGTTCATGGCCTTCCATCTTAACATGTAAGTCAAATCGCGTATTGAAAAACTGCACGCTTCATTGGCGAGTGTGCTATTTGATGTCATTTAAGAGGTAGACCTTTACATGCAGCGTTTCTTTTTTAAAAGTCGGCTGATTTACGTACAGTTACCATTGTTTCATAGGTTAATGAACAGGTTCTTTGTACGTCCCACTCACACTTCAGTGGAATTGGACTTTAGTGAGCTGCCGTTTCCTGCTGTTACTGTCTGTAATGTTAATGTTATGAGGTGGTCACAGGCAAGTACCTGTCATTATTTATGTCTTGATTATATATACATATGCATGTGTATATATATATATATATATATGCATAACTCATTAACGTTCCATACGCTACCTACATAACATAGTATAATATGTTGAAAAGACAGCACGCGTTTCTTCTCCATGATAGGATAACTAAATGGCAGTCTACAAAAACGTGATTGTAATTTATAATTTTGTTTCTCTTTTGACTGTTTATCGAGAATCCACCAGCATAACATTACGCAATAAAACATTAAAATTAGCACTAGAATATTCGGGTTAGAGTTTCTAGCTTTTGATATTGCACGAAGCCAAGTCTATTTGTTTAACGTGTATCCTAATATATAAAGCCCATGTGTGCACTTCTCTGTCTCTCTCTGTCTCTCTCTCTCTCTCTCTCTCTCTCTCTCTCTCTCTCTCTGTCCGCTAAATATTTTCGCTGGATATCACATCAGAATCTTCAGCGATATATGGAGAACTTGATGCGGACTTTTGTTGAAAATAATATGGTAGATGTTTTAAATGTATAACCAACATTTTATTTAAAGAAGAAAAATAGAAAATAAAGGCATATTCGAATGTGGAAAAACAGTTTTAATTTTGCAACAGGAAAAGTGTTTATAGTTCTGAAAAAAAACCCATGAAACAATGAAGTCACTAATGTTTATACATTAACTAATGACGTCATCTGCCGAGTTTAGAAAAAAAAATTAAATACAATTTTTCCGGCCTAAAGTTTTTAAAATAAATCTTTCATTCTCCATATAGTATTAGGTGCCTAAATAGCTGAGATGATAGTGTACATAATACCACGCAGATGGTGCGGGATCGAGATACACCAAGTCAAACTATTATTTTTTATAAGTGAATCTTTCTATTTTAGAACATAAAGAAAGGAACTACTTCATTCAAATTTGATTTAGATCTAGATCTATAGATCTACTCATCAAGACGACGCTAAAAATCTATACAATTTTATCGGTTAAACTAATACAAATTACTTAAAAACAACATAATGTATGCATTTAATAAGGTGTTGTGTTGACTAATTATGTATATAATTTGGTATTATTTTTTCTAATAGGTATTAGTAGCCAATGTTATTTTTAATGTGTCGGACTTTTAGCTATTTAATTATTTCTTTGCTTTGTCAATAATATCGTTACACCTGTAGTTAAGCACATTGTGGTTTGACCAATACATATTTTATAAAATATTCTTCTAAAAAATGTATACCATTAAAAATATATAGACCGATAATTCTCGTGTAACGGGTACCAACGGCTAGTATAAACAAAGCAGTAAGGCATTTCACTTAATTATAAAAAAGTGTGTACAAAATCTGATTACACATTGTGTAGCGTAATATCTTGAAAGATCATGCGATCGCTCACTTTTAGGCATGACTTCTATACTGTCAAGTTAAACTTATTCCTTAAAAACATATTTTGAATTTACTCTCCATTTTTTTTCCATGTTATTCACATATTTGATGTGATAATCCAGGGAGCGTATGTTAGTCAGGAGATGCAGAATATCCTAGAAAACATGTGGCTGGAAGATCCCACAAATAACAATGTTGACACCAGCACGGAAGACCTCTCTACCACTGAAGATCCTTCGGATAACGATAACACAACCGACAGGCAAAATATTTATTCACAATTACATAAGTATCTTACTATCAAGATAATTGTTACTATCATTAATTTCTAAATACGTAGAACTTGTATACACGTGATATGCTTTTTTTAAAGTTTAGTTGCTGTAGCACTGTCGGTGCAATACTGTACAATACTCATCTGATTGGTATGATCTGAAGCGGCGCATACAAACGGCAACACTTAACCTTTGCATATCAGAGAAACATTTCAGATTTAATTGATTGTTATTTAGATTTATAATTTGACGTTTTATTATATGTATTTTAAGTGTGCAGCGATAACTTGTTTGTAAAATATGTGTAATACTGCATAGACTTTGTGTTACAGGTCTACGCCATCTTACGCAGCTGACACGGTAATAAATCATTGATAATAATATTCATTACTAGGAATTTAATCTAATAAAATACATTAAATGGCATTAACAGCACGATTAACTATCAAAACAAGTTTTGAATTACTGCGTGTATATGTTAATTCGTTTTTATAGTCATACATTTGTTGTAAGTTTATTTAAAGATCACGACCGTTTTTATCTATTTTAAAATAATTTTTCAGAATTAGTTTCAGAAGTTGATTAAAATATAAAAAATATAAATTGGTATATAAATTATCTTATAAATACAATATCGATTACATTGAAATCCTCATAAACATATTTAAAAAATCGTGTTGTTTTGTTCAATAAAGAATGAGATTCCTAAGACATGGGAACAAACAGCTAAAAAGTCAAATTTCTCGGCAAATCTGGAGAAGTTCTTCTCAGAGTTCAGCAAACTTAACCAGTAAGTTTTAGTAAATTTAGGTGCATTATGTAACTTAAACCACAAAATGTACTAATCTTTCATCGTGTTAGATCTATGTTTTATTTCCAGCTAGGTCTTTTAAGTGTCCAGGTAAAATAAGGAATGACCTATAGAGATATTTGTTTTGTAATATATCTATTTAATGAATTAACTGTTGAATTCAAGTGTTGGTATTGTATAAAATAAACCATACTATTCTTTTTGAAAGAGATCGACTTTGATTTTCGTATTAACGGCTTGCAAATTGAGATTATGTCCGTTATGAGTTATGTGCTTAGTGCTCTAAATTATAAATGTCCACATACTTTTGTAAACTTCGATAATCTGCTTTTGTTACTGCAGTACATGCTGTTGCCGCATGCTATGAGAATATTTGTCAGATGCGGTATATTTTCCTACGTATTTTTTTCTAATTAATGACCCGCTTGTCCGTCTAAAGATCCACGAGAGCTATGATCGGCCACGAGATAAACAGTATGTTGTATAGATGCACATTTGCAGAGAGGATCTGTGAGGCAAAGTAGGTGGTTAGAACTTTTACTATTGACATCACTAACTCACTAGATATTTTGGAGTTTCATTATCTTCATCACCAAAATATTTAGCGACAACAATCAAATTATTATATGCAATTAACATAACATCTGCAATAGCCCTAATTAGAACAGAAGTAACACATTAGACATCACCTCCTGTAACGTCTACCTCTTGTTCGCTTTCACAGAGATTTTATACAAAGATACTCGGCAACTTATGGGAACTGCTACACATTACAGAACGACATGTTAACCGTCAAAAGTAGTGGTCCAAGTGGAGGTATGTTGGCAAACAGTCAAGCAATTCAGAGAGACAGGATTTAACAAAAAGATGTATATAAACGAGTGGCAAGTTATCAACAAAAAAAAATATTGACATAACATATTAAGTTAAAAACGTTGATGGGAAGTTGGTTTCCTTTTTTTTATTACACCACCTTCAAGTTTGTTATTTAAATAGTGAACCTCTTTATCTGAATTGTAAAAAGGAAATTAACTGCTTTACCCCCCCCGCCCCCCTAATAAGTTTAACCCGTTTCGTCCTGTTAGTACACATATGCTTGATGTCAGTGTACGGGATTAGAGTTTCTTTTAATATATTAATCATGTTAATTGATATTTATTTTCTTTTTTTTTTTGTGTAGGGCTGGAGCTAACTTTATTCCTAGAGACGGATGAATACCTACCAGGTATCACCAGTGGTGAGGGGGCTCAGGTGGTGATACACGAGCAGGGGACATTTCCTTTCCCTGACGAAGAAGGGATTGCTATAGCATCAGGGGCTCAAACTCTGATAGGATTAAAACAGGTGTGTCACTTTAGTTAATTATTTTAAAATCGCTTAACATTTTTGTTGTAAAAGTAAAAATGTTAAACATGTTTAGATGTAGAAATATAACGTTTTTTAAACATTATCTAATTACTAAAATAAATTGTTCGGTTTTTTAAAAATGACAGTAGAAAAATAACTTGTATTTAATGTAACGGGATCTTTTGTAAGGGTTACTACGATACACTATTAAATGCATTTTCGTAAATTTACTTATGGATTATACATTTCATAAAACTAGAGCATTGTATACATTAAAATACAACTAGTTACGCATATATCTAAAATAATTAAAAAAGAAACAAGAAATCATCAATCTTTCTTCAACAGTTATCAATTCAACGTCTTGGTTTACCATATGGCAAATGCAATGATGATACTGAATTTTATGGCAAATACGGGTTCAAATTTAGAAGAAACGTACGTTATAAGAATATTTATACATTGCATGTCAAATATTTAATACAGATGGTAGCAATTTTGAATAATATCACACGTTGACCATTATAATATTTGCTACTCATGAACGTTTAGTAAAATGTGCTATGAATTTCAGACCATTTAATGGCAGTTATCTCATTTTTTACTGTTCCATAGACCAATAACTGCATGTTTGACCTAGTGACGTCTAAAAATATAATTTCCTTTGACTCGTCCTAGCTGTGCCAGAAGATCTGCCAGGTAGACAAGATCAGGGCTACCTGTAACTGTTACGACATAAGTAACCTGGAGATGAATGACGTCATAAAGTATCCGGACACTCTCGGTCCCTGCACTACTCAAACAGGTAGATTATACGTATGTTCAGAGTTTCTTCCAGGCATCTCTTCGGAAGAAAGTGTACCGACCCCCCCCCCCCCCCCGAACGTTTAAAATGTTGACAAATGCTTTCATTGCAGTGGTTTGAAAATGGATAATTTCTCTAATATAAATAGACGATATGAACACAGATTTTCCTATTATCGAAAAATTATACGTGTTATTCTGTATTATGTTAAAACGTACACGTTCATTAAGAGCAGTAGCTTTGTTGATCAAGTAAAACTGTATGGTTGTTCCCGATTTGACTTTTCAGAATTTAGTCGTCAAGTTTTTATGAAAATTGTAAAATTGTATATTTTTCTTTCACTTTAGAGCAGCAGTGTGTTAGAGAAATATATTCGGTTGTTTCTAATAATGACACAAGTTGTGACTGCTCAAGTCCTTGCAGGTAAAATTGTGCTTGTAATTTTATACGCTTGATGCATTTGATTCATAAAACAATTTACCTTACACGTGCTGCTCTGTCTCTCCGTCCTTCATAGATCGAAAACCGATTTATTTATTTTTAATTAGATTAATGCTTTGGTCACTGTAATGGTTCAGCCTCACTTCAGGTTAAAGTTCATATTTCAGTTAACTTCTTGTTTATAAATACCGATCTGGTTTTAGTTCCGGTCTGGTTTAAAGTTCCGACTTCAGTTAAAGTTTATCATAACAAACTTCTTTGAATTTCCATTCTTCTGAAATCGGATCAACGTACGATGGGCAATCTATCTCTTATATAACGTTGTGTATTTGGTTAGCACTTTAATGGCGACTTACACTTTCTTTGTAATTATATGAATAGGTAATTATTGTATTTCGTTTAGGTGCATTTATAGAAGGTTGTTATCATAACGTTCGTTTATATATTTTAAAATTATTGTTACATATATGTATATATATATATATATATATATATATATATATATATATATATATATATATATATATATATATATATATATATATATATATATATATATGGTGACAGGACAAATGATCTCAGACAGAATATCTCAGACAAAAATCCGCTAAAACGGATTCTGTGGCTCTGTATGTATGTATACGGCGGACTTTTGGATCCTTGACAGTAGTATATATATATATATATATATATATATATATATATATATATATATATATATATATATATATATATATATATATATATTGTTACGACCCCCTTCTCTAACCCTTTCGAATTAGTCAGGGAATCGTAAACAAGAAGAAGAAAATAAAAATAAATAAATGCCAATTTAAGTGATTCCTATTTAATGCCACAAGTTACAATACTTAACGTTAAACCCGCCACCACATGGAACACAATAGGAAAAATACACAACTATCTACAACAACTAAAGTCCTTAATTCGACTGCCCTACTTGTCCCTAACTGTCAAGGCTAGCCTAGGTCTAATACATGTCGTGGCTTTCCACTAGCTCACAGAGACGACCCATGTCTGTCTCCTCTAAACCTAACGATCCGAGACGAGTCCGTCCGTCTCCGAGTGTGTGTCCGAATGTGTGTCCGAGTGTCTGCCCCCCCCCTCGAGTGTCCGGTCTACCCTCCTAAAGTACTCGTCCCCCGTTCTTCACCGTGGGAACAATTTTAATTAGCCTTTCCCTAGGTCAGCTCCGTCCATGACGGTCCACTCGGCCCCGTTCGATCTGGATGGCTTTCCCAGCCGTAAATCACGGGCCTTTTGGCCACGTTAATAGCCGAGTCCCGAAGACTCCAATTCTGCCACGCCCACAGCGTGGAAACTAATCCGTGGTGTGGCCGTCAACTGCGTCAAAACCCCCAGACTCTCACGGCCTATACTTGCCAGTGCATGAACATGCCTCCGCTTTTCATTTTAATTACTTGGCCGGCTATTCAAGCGCTGGCCACCTGCCTCCTCGATGGGGCCAAACACAGGTAAAGATCCGTTGGGATATATATATATATATATATATATATATATATATATATATATATATATATATATATATATATATATATATATATGAATGTTTGATGTTTGATAATGAATAAATGGACTGTTTAATTGTTTAGATATTTATTTATGTTTCGCCATGTAATAAATGCATTTCTATTTTAAAGTGAAAAGGCTTATGAAAAAAGCGTGTCCTCGAGATATTGGCCAAATTATAAAACAGCAGTGAGTTTTGTTTGAGTTAAACATTTTAATTTTTTTGTATTACAAAAAAAAAACCAAAAGAAAATGTGATTTCTTTATTACAAATATATACATAATGTGTGCCAATACTAAGGTTAAACGTATGATTTATAGTCTTTAATCGCTGTAGTTATAAAACCTAGTCTTTTCTCTATGATGTAATGTGTTTTATTATTGCAGAAATTTTTGATAGACACCATGTGTAAAACAAAAAACCTGACTGAATGTCCTATACTGCTAAACAGAAGTTTTGTATATACGTAAGTAATGCATTTGAAATAATTTAAACTTGAAAGCGGTTGGTGATTTATTGCAATTCTGCTTCTATATATTTCACTGGTTCTGGCCCGGTTAGCTGAAATGAGTATCTGGATTGATTTATGTAAAATAATTCTGATATTTACAAAAATACATGTACTATATTGGTCGTAAGTATTAAATGTATACTTTTTTACATCTTAGAGTTTGTTTTTACCTAAAGTGAAAATTCACCATTATATATTATGTATTACTACAGATGGACATTGTCAACATTTTCTCTGAATACACATAGCCCTACATAATATGTGTATACTACATATTGAGTACTAATTGAGTACAATTTAAAGATGACTTATATTCAGGTTTTTTTTTTAAACCTTACACTTCACTGCAACAACGTGCTGTTTCTCTTTTGTCATTGGTCAAAACCACTATTAAAACTGTGGTATACCGATTCAGATGAAAATACATTTTAGCACTATCCATTTGTAGCAGTGTTTCAGTAGGCTACTTTTTTGTCTATTTTCATATCAATAGACTTTAGTACTCAATATGTAGTAGACACATATTATGTAGGGTTATGTGTATTCAGAGAAAATGTTGACAATGTCCATCTGTAGCAATACATAATCAGTGGCGTAGCGAGGTCGGGTGTCACCCGGTGCGGCACTTAATGGTGTCACCCCCCCCCCAGAGGCATAGAGACCCTTCCCAGGGACAAACTTTCAAATTTTCGATTTGCACCCCCCCCCTCAAACTTTCGATTTGCACCCCCCCCCCCCTCGAGTTTTTCTCTATATATTTTGCTATTTTTTGCCTTGGTGTCACCCCCCTAAATGGTGTCACCCGGTGCGGTCCGCACCCCCCGCCCCCCCCCCCCTCGCTACGCCCCTGTACATAATATATAATTTAATTTTGTTTACATTTATATAACGCAGCATTTCGCTCCATTACTAAAATTGTGTATATAGAAAAATTGTTTTTTTTTTAAATGTTCTCTTTTTTTCTAAATCCGTATGCATTTAACGTAACACGTGGTAATTGAATTGTGCGTCTGACCTCAAATGTTTATAAGCTTGTAGTGCAAGTTGTGATTGTCTAGCGCTTTATTATTAAGTTTAACAATGCAAAAAACATTAGCATGATAATTATAATTTACAAGTATAAAAAGAAGCAATACTTTACAGGTATGACTTTCTGAAGCTTAACATTTATTTTGAGGATTTGAATTATGAGAAAATAACTGAACAACCTGACTACGAGGTATTGGTTTCCTATTCATTTATTGTCTTTGTTTTATTCGAACAAAATGATCAAATTAAATAGATTTGACCACAGATACTCTATTCGCCCTTAAAGGTGCCATATGTTATTTATTATGGCACATATGATAAGAAGAAGAACATGCTTTTAATTTAAATTATGTCAAAACTGTCGTTTTTTTTTTAAAAAAAACACGTTAATCATTGTTTTATTGTTGACTTGAAATTCCAGGTAATACAGGTGTTGTCTGATGTTGGTGGATCCATCGGACTGTGGATCGGGTTGTCTCTCTTGAGCCTGTTTGAGCTCCTACACCTCATCATCGATGTTATTGTACTGGTGGTCAGACACATATCCAGAAAAGATTAGCACACATGTAGATTAAAAGTTGTAGGTCTTCATAAGCCTTACCTGTTTCATCCGTCCCATACTTTGAGTTTGCAGCCTAAACTTCGTCATAATACTTGTCAGACCAGGTCAATGTTCATATTATAACCCAATAATAGTAATCCTAATTTTTATAAGACTTGTTTTAACCCATTTCGATCTAGTAAACATAATATTGTTAATGTTCATATCTAAATAATCATTTTAAAAACGTCATTTTTTTAAATTACTCTGATAAGTATACATTTTAAAAAAGAGCGCTCATGTAATTTTAAAATAGTACAATAAAAGGCATGCACTATTTCCCGTAACATGTAAAGCTCCCCATTCGGTCAAATTTGCAACCGGTAAAAGATTGAGTTCCAGTTTTTTTTAAAAAGTTCCGGTGCCACCTAAAGTTCAGTTGTTAGTTAGGCCTACATTTCGTGGTTTGGTTTTTTTTTTACTCTATGTTAAAACTTCTCTTCGGCTAAATTATTAGTCACAGTTACAGTAACTGTTAAACTATTATTTAGATTTTAAATTCAACAAACATTTTATATCATTTTTTATGCTATAGTGTACTTGTGTGATTTTTAACGGTCGTTGTATTTTTTTCCTAAACGGGACAATTAACTAGTATTTTAAAATACTTCGATATGATATCTTTGTGTGGTTTTTTAAACATTAGATGTGAAGTTTTACCATAGTACGTTGTCTTAAGTGACCAGATACAAATCGAGATATAGAGCCCTAAATTATAAATGATACTTTCGTTTTTCGAGTAAGGAAATATGTATATATGCTACACGGAAATATGTGCATTAAAGAGATGAAGAAAATCTTAACTGCAATGATTTTGTAAATACTTTTCATTTTGGACCATTGTCATATATTACTGATTTTCAGAAATATTTTTGCAGATTTTTAAAGTGGTTTAATTATATGTATATATGTGTATATATGTATGTATTATAAAATGCAAGTCGTCTCGGCCAGGCAACGCACTGGCCTCTGTGAAAAACATATCTGTAAAGGACAATAACTTGCTTGTTTAGTAAGCAACATATACCCGAAATCGCCCGGGTTAGAAAATATATTACTTTTTTAATTAACCCTAACCACAACCCTAACCACAACCAACTAAATCAAAGCACAAACTCAAAAACAAAAGTAAACAAAACCAAACATAAACCCAAACTCAAACACAAAAGCAAGCGCAAACACAAACGTAAACGTAAACAGGAACAAAAACGCAAAAACCAACACAACTATAAAAGCAAATACAAACAAAAACAAAAACACAAACACAGTCACAAACACAAATACAAACGCAAACAAAAGAGTAAGCGTAAACGCAATCAATAACGCATAACACAAATACATACGTAAATGTAAACATAAACGCATAGTGCTCACACGATAGCCCATGGCGAAAAAATCGAACACTTAACGAACGCGCCTGAATCAATTTTGTGAACGACTATTTTACCCACAAGCTTTTCCACAAACGGAAAGATAGAAGTAATCGTATAAGACATTAAGGAGCGGCTTCTATACATTTCTTCTAACATATTCGTATACAGTACGTTCAGTGTATCAAATAAATAAAAGGCACTGTCAAATATCCGCGTTCTACCTACCATATTGCACTTTATTAATCCATGCTAATTATGTTTAAAAAAAAGTATTGTTTTTTTTTTTCGATGTAATTTTTTTTAAAGGGAAGTTGTTTTTTTCGTGATGTATTAAGGAAAATAATTGATACTAAAAGGATGAAAAGAAGCTAGTTGTTCACTTTTTAAATTTTTGTGATATATTTTTTTGACTTTATTTATTCCACGTGATGTTAATTAAAATGGTAAGTTAGGAAAATCAAACTTTTTTACAAAACCATCCATATTATTTTGTTTTAATCATTTATTATAATTTAACAAAATTACCCTGTGGAAATCAAGTCGAGTTTTTTACTATAAGCATGTCTGCCACGGGTCCGTCCGCTGCCACATACACAGATACCGAGCCACATAATCTATTTGAGCTTTATATATTAGACGAACCTGCCCGCAGCGTAACATACGCCGCTATTTAGTTATTTTATTTTCTACTTTTCTGTAATTCATAGTTCGTGAATTCGACACTACCAATGCTGCAACTGAAAATACTTTGCACTAAAACAATATCAGTAGCTGGTGAAGGACGATTATCACCCCCTCACTCCCCCCACCCCCACAACCCCACCCCCGCCCTTGTGAAAGCAGCCGTCCGTGACAACAGTTTACGGAAGGAATTGAAAAGATCAAGCAGAACTTGTTAGCTCAGTTTAGTTTCAAATCGTTTAAAAACTAAATTATCTGCCCCTAATAACCGTCACTAATTCGACCCGGCTCTACGATTGTAAACATTCGGCATAAACCACAGCTCAACAGACTGGTGGGGGTGTGGGTGATAGGGATGTGGTCTGTTGCTAATGCCTGGAGAGCGAGGGAAGGGGCGGAAAGAGGGTTAGAGATTCGGCTTGCGTGCGTGGTGGTGTCCACGTAGATAATTATATATATACGAGCGTATCATACGCCGTTATTTAGTTGTTTTATTTTCTACTGTTCAATAATTCATAATTTGTGAATTCGACTGTACCACTGATGCGCCTGAATATATTTGCTTTAAAACACTATCAGTATCTCGTTAAGGATGATAACCCCCACCCCCTCCTTTCCCCAACCCCAACCCCCCCCCCCCCCCCACCGTGAAAGCAGCCTCCTCTTAGTTACCTCCCCTAAATTTAAAATCGTTTCAAACTAAATTATCTGCCCCTAATAGCCGTCCCTAACCCGGCTCTACGAGTGTAAACATTTAGCGTGAACCACAGCTCGCCAGACCATGTAGGGGTGGGGGTGGTAGGGAGCGCGCTTACAGATTGGTGTTTTCTAGGGTCTCCAAGAAGAGAATTATATATATATATATATATATATATATATATATATATATATATGTATATATGTATATATATATATATATATATATATATATATATATATATATATATATATATATATATATATATATATATATATATATATAAGCATACACTCTTTACATATTAAGTATTAAAAGCAATTTGTTATTACCACAAGGAAGGTTAAGTTTAGGACTAAGGTGTGAGTCAGTGCAGAGGGTTTAACCCTAACATAATGTCTAGGGGTCACAAACCGAATGAGCAGCGGGGTTTGTACTAGTTTTGCACGGGTGTATTAGAGGTGTGTCAGCGTTGTTTGAGGCTTATCATTAACAATATACATATACCTAATAGTGTACTTTAGTTCTATATAGTAACCACCTTATTATAAGTTTTGTGTTTCCTTTTGTTGTAATTTTTTTTAACTGTGGTTCTCTGTGCTTAGATAGTGTTGAAGGTTTATTAAACATGTTATAAACCATTTGCGGTGTTTTCCTTATAACTTGTGCGACGCACTTAATTCGCTTTACAGGTTCATCAGTGTGTTCTCTACAATAAGAAAACATGTAGTAAAACAATGTCACGAGGTCTCTTTCAAAGTGAAGGATAATGGTTTTGCAGAGGGTGTTACATCAGCTTAAAAATGATGGAAATCGCAAACCTTAACTAAAAATGTATTTGAATTAGTAATAGATTGTACTTTAATACAAACTGAGATTGGAGGTTGGGGGGGGGGGGGGGTATAATACTAAAAGTAATTTTGCTTTTTCAACTTGTTATATCACAAGTAATTAAACAACTATTTACAAGTCACTACATAATTAACTTTTGATAGCGTACTTGATGTAAAATGATCTTGTTTTCAAGTGAAAACATTACATACAAGCCTCTCTACTAGACGTCGTTGTGTCTGCGACACTAGCGAAACTGTAAAGATAAAGTGGGCGTTAAATGAGAGATAAATAATTAAGTAATTAACTGCAAAATATCAGTTGTTGCATCTGCTCCATTATTCTCTCAAAGAGTTTATCGCACTTCAAACGCGTTTGCTGTGAACCCGATAATTGATTTATTGATTCGTTTCATTGTATAAACAGTTAAAATCAATGTATTGAGTGATAGAAATGTGAAACCTTGGGACGGATAATTATTAAAGGAAATTTCGACTTTTTTTCTCCTTTTCTCATAGACTTACATCTCTTTTTGTTTTACACTTATTGTCAGAGCATAGTTTTGGTAGTTCCATACATTAGAATTATTTTTTGTTAAGCTTTAGAGCTTTGAATTAAAAATGAAATAAAATGTAAGATTGCTTTACTACTTCAAATATCTTGAAATAAAGATTTGTGCCAGTAAAGAAAATATGTTGTTAGTTCTCAGTATTATGATTAATTCTTGTTAGCTTGCATTATGTATTTAAAATTCTCAAAACATTGTAGATTTATTGTAAGTGTAACAATAGATAGTAAAACAAACTGAAGATTCCTCTTAGAATTAGCGATCTATTAAGCATATGAGGTAGACTTCATATGTTTTTGACTTCGACATAAGATGGGATAGTGTGGTAAGCACCATGCTCAGCCGCCTTTATTTCCATATCGGGAGTTAAGTACCCATTATAGCTGGGTGAACTCAGAGATGTTTATTTGAACCCGTATTCGATGTTTTACTCGAGTCTTTCGGATTGGTAGTCAAGCGCTCTTTTGCAAGGCCACGCCGTGCCACCTAAAGATAGGCACTACTAGGTGGTCTACAATAATCAGTGAATAAATTAAACGAGGGTAGTCATTCACGGCCCCGGCACTAGAGTACGGTTTACAGGCGGCTTCCTAAGAACAGGGGGCCTGTTGATTAAGCGTCCCAAACAAGCTGTCAAACTGCAACAGGGGCGGCCCCGGCGGTCGTATGACATACAGCGTCCTAGAAGCCTTAAGGCGCATATAATCGTTTTAAGGAGTGCTTCACACAAGGAGCACTTCGGGCTTCTGCATTGATAACTAAACCGAACAAGAGGTTGCACCTGGCGCCCCTTCGGTATTGTAACCCTTAAATCCCGTGACGCCCCTAACACCTGGGTGGTCACAGAGGGTTCTGTACCGATACGTCTCGGATGGATTATAACGTACACAGTAGGGGGCGTGTGGGCGGTGGTGTGGACAAATCTACGATCTAAGAAGTAACGCGCCGGCTTTGTTGCATTTAAATATCTCACTTAAAGAAAACAAGGTCACACGTTTAAAAATACACAAAAGATAACGCGCTGGGGAGGTTTATAAAATGATAATAAGGCACTGTAGTGTGATATAAATAGCTATAAAACGGCATGCCTGTAAGCTGACGTATAAAAAATAATCAACTCGCAAAATAATTCGTCGATCGACCATAAAATTGTTTTAATTTGCTGCTAACGATTTAAACATAGTCACAACCAGTGTTGAATTATTTACGCAGGCGTGGTATAAAACGACTCATGTATTGTTAAATTAAGCCAATGAAGTTAACCCACTCGTGCGCAATAATCTATACATACAGCCCGTCGTTAAACAACACAAAAGAGTTCACGCGGAAGGAACGGGTGTCGCAATCGCCGCTGCGCCGGAGGGGTGACTAGTCGGTGGATCCTGATACACATGACAGACTTCACGGACAGGTGGAGTCCTGGGTCGCAGCTACACAGGTAAGCTAAGGTAAACTTTGTGGTGTAATTTCTATTCAACATTCGGGAGTTTTAGTTTGTTGTAATGATCACGCTTGCTAAAAATTAATACGTTTAAATGTGTTTTATATTTGGAGTTTGTAACTGCGATAGCATACGTCTTTTATATTGAGGAGGAAATATTTCGGAACACAATTATCTTAACAGCTTATATTACCTCAGTGATTATTCATGTGTTTCTTCTCTTTCTTCGAATTCAACTTTAAGACATTCAAGTCCTTATATATATATATATATATATATATATATATATATATATATATATATATATATATATATATATATATATATATATATATATATATATATATATATATATATATATATATATATATATATATATATGTATGCCTATATATATATATATATATATATATATATATATATATATATATATATATATATATATATATATATATATATGTGGTTTATAAGGCAGTGGCTAGCTGTATTTCCACAGTTGAACATATTTTTCAAACTACCGTTGTTAAAATATTTCACGTAAAAATCAATGAATTCACGTTGACTCGCATATAGCACGTAATACTAGTCTTCCTATTGATTCAATGTTTTTCGCAGTTCTGGTGAAATACAATTTACTTCGCAAGTTCATGAAGTTATCTAATTGCTTTGAAATATTGAAATATATACGAATTGTGTTTTTAAAAAGGTTTTTATTATTTTATTTTTTTGCAGAATTTAATTCTAACGACACAAAAATCAATTTCCTAGAATACATTGTACAGAGATTTCTACACCCCGCTCCAAGGGAGTAGAAGATGAAAGAAACTGTCAAGGTATTTATTAATTTAAAAAAAAAATGTCTAAACATTTTCTGAAAAGCTATGTTGAGCAAAACTGAATTATGAATACAAATATCGTAATAAATTCACATTTTATAAAAATATATTTTAAATTTGCTATTATTATAAGTTGGCTTTGTTTTGACAGAAAACAATCCAGACATATATAAAAGAAATGTAAAAGTAGAATGCCTTTAATCTCGTGCTGTGTTAAAACGGCCCCTACTAAAGAGCCTCCCGTCATTTAGGCTACAGAAAAAATAAACTCTCGTCATAATGGCTACCGTTAATAAGGCTCACACCGTATAGGACGTCGGTCATTTAGGCTCCCGACTAAAGGGTCACTGACAATACGGTGTCGGTTGAGTCTGAATTCTGCCAGCAAATCGGTCTATTTGGATATGAGCCGTTCCATTGTTTTCAGAGTTAGCTTAGCCAACACATGTATACATTATAAGGTAATATGGGCTCCCTTTTTTAAATGTAAATGTTACATTGTTTAAACGTAGTTTATCAAGTAGACAGTGTGTTGCGAGATGTAAACACCATGCATATCATACATTTAAACCTATGTACTCGCTTTCTAGCAACAGATCTTCACGGGTTTCAATAAAACGTCTACATTAAAAATGTTTCTGTCAAGATCTCGATTCGTTTATAAATTGCGGTGGGTTCATGGAAGAGTTTTTATTCGGGCAAGGTCATGGTAGAAGTGGTAGTAGGCACTGTGTATGGCTGGCGGGTTGGATAAAATGGTTACTTCAATACCAAATGTGGTCACACAAATTATTTGTCAAAAGCCCATATGTCGGGAGTCAACATGACTGGAACCAATTGGACAGGAGCCTAAAAGTCGGGGCTACTTTGACAGGGCCGCTATGTCTGAGGCCGTTTCATCTTTTAAATTACTTATTTTTTAAAGTATTTTCTTCTTCTTCTTCTTCGTTCTTAATTTTTGAATATGGTGGAGGATTCAGACAACAAGTCCAACTTCGTGGGCAAACCGGACTGTGGTTTCCAATTTGTCAGGTGTCCCATATAATTTTTCCCTGAGTGGGGTGGGCTGGGGCCAGTGTCTGCCTCTTGCCTGGCTATACAGAGTACATTCCTGGAGTACGTGCTCTGTGTTTTCCGGGGCCTTGCCACAAGGGCACATTTCGCTACACCCAACCTTCAGTTTTTTGTGCATGTGTTGATTTAGTCTGTTGTGGCCTGTTCTGAGTCGAAAGATTGTGTATTGTTGTTTTCGTGTTAAATTGTAATAGCCGTCGTCTTTAATGTAGTGAGGGTGTGTGACAGACCACATTTGCGTTTGTTTGCTTTTAATTATTCTTTTTATTTCTTTTGGGTGTAGCGAAATTTCCGGTTGTGGTTTCTTTTCCCCAATTTTTGCCAGTTGGTCTGCGATCTCGTTACCCTGGATCTGGCAGTGGCCCGGGATCCACTGCAGCACAATTCTGCTGCAGGTATTTTTTAGCCTCTCTAGTGCTGTCATAAGTGTTTGAATATAGGACTCCGGATTTTGTAGGGATTGCAGGACTGATTTGGCATCTGTAAGAAATACAATCTGACTATTCGGTGATTCAGGGTGTTCTGACAGGAGGTTTGCTGCGTGTTCTAAAGCTTCTTTTTCTGCCCTAAAATTGTCGGATAGGCTGCCTGTGGCTATTGCCTTTTCCAGGCTTTCTCCGCTTGGCCATTCAATAAGGATGCCAGCCCCGCCGTTTTTTGTGGCATCTTCAGCTGAGCCATCTGTGAAAACTCTAATCCAGGTGTTGCTGGGGTACTGATCCTTAATGTGTTTGTTTGTTATTTTCTTAAGTTCTTCTAGATCATAGTCAGATTTTTTTCCTATGGTGTCTATTGAGTCAATAATGGTTAAGTGACAGTGGGAGATCCAAGGCGGGGAGAAGTTTTGAGTTTTTATTGCTTCAGGAATGATATTTTCGATTTCATATTTCTTTTTCAGATTCTTTGCTTCTTTGATGAAACTTGTTCTTTGTAGTCTGGTTGATGGACTGGGTTTCTGGAGTTTTTGTTTTAGGTTATGGTTTTCCAGTGCCTCTAGCTTTGTGTATTGAGTGAGGATTTTTGATTCTCTTCTTTCTTCTATTGAGCTAAGAGCGGCTATTTCCTCCATAGCTTTTATGGGTGTTGTTTTCATGGCTCCTGTCATTATTCTCAATCCAATGTTCTGAACTTTGTCAATTTTGCTAATATTTGTTTTTGCTGCTGAGCCCCAAGCCGAAGCACCATATTCTAACGTAGGTCTCACATAGCTGGTGTAGGTTTTTTTCAGGATGTGGTGATTTGCTCCCCAGTCTGTTCCTGCCAGTTTCCTCATTAGATTAAGTCTTTTGATCCCATTACTTTGTGTGTTTTCTATTTGTTTTCTCCAGGTAAGTCGAGTGTCAAAAGTGACTCCTAGGTATTTGGGGTGGTCATTTTTTTCTAGCTCTTGGTTTTCTAGGGTAAGTTTCATTTTTTGATGTTTAGTTGATAAGGTGAAGATTGAATAAGTTGTTTTCTTGGTATTGATGGATAAGCCCCAGTTTTTGGACCATTTGCCGAGCTTGTCAAGTGTTTCTTGAAGACGAAATTTTGAGGTACCAATATATTCCTCTGTGCTGATTAGTGAAAGGTCGTCTGCAAACATGCTTCTTTTTACACTCCTTGGGATGTTTTCATTTAAGTCATTTATATAAATGAGGAAGATAGTAGGAGACAAGACTCCTCCTTGAGGGACTCCATTTTTTATAGTTACTGCGTGACTTCTTTTTCCTTGCATGGAGACTGATGCTTTTCGGTTGCTTAGGTAACCTTTTATCCAGTTTAGCATGTTATGAGATACTTGATGGTTTATTAGCTTTAGAATTAAGCCTTGCTTTCAAACCTTGTCAAAGGCTTTTTCAAAGTCGACCCACACTATTGAGGTTGGTTTTTTTTCTTGAAAGCCATCTTCTATTTCCTGAGAAACGAAGGTGATTTGGTCTTCAGTAGATCTGCACTTCCTGAAGCCTGCCTTTTCGTCTGCTAGTAGATTGTTCGATTCTAGAAACCAGGTCAGTCTGTTGTTTACTACTCTTTCCATCAGTTTACAAACGCAGCTTGTTAAACTTATTGGGCGATAGCTATCGACTTTGTTCCTGGGTTTTCCTATTTTTAGAACAGGTATCATGATTGCTTTTTTCCAAATATTTGGGATTTTCCCAGATTTCCAGCTTGCATTAAATATTTGGAGCAGTTTTTTCTTAGCATTGGGGCCCAAGTGCATGAGCATATCATTTGAGATTTTGTCAGGGCCTGGAGCTTGCTTAAGTTTGAGGAGCTTCGTTGCTTCTCCGAGCTCCTTCTTGCTAATTCGAGCTACCATTCCAGTGGAGGAGGGGGGAGAGACTTTCTGTAGTTTTTCTTTAACTTCAGTTTGATTTTTAACCTCTTCTACTCTTTGGTGGCTGATATTTATTTGTCCCACTTTGCTGAAGTGGGTTATAAATTCTTTTGCTGCATCCTTTTCTGTTTTGATCGTGTTTTCAATGTCGATGACTATGGGAGTAGCTCTGTTTTCTTCTTGGTTTAGCCTTTTTGCAATACTCCATAGTTTATGACCATCTCTATCTACATTGAGGTGTTCTGTTTTTTCTTGCCAGCTTTTCCTCAATGCAGTTAGATACTTTTTTCTAAAAACTGCGTTTGCTGATTTTAATGTTATGTTATTTTCTACTGTGGGATTTTCTTCAACAATGTTTCTAGCATCAATTGTCTCGTTATGGAGTATCTGGAGGTCTGGAGTCCAGTTTGGGATATAATTTTTCCTTGCTCCCCTTGGAATAGATTTTTTGGCTGCTAACAGAACAGCTTTTGAGAAGGCTGTGTATGACTTGTTCACCTGTTTGGTTTTACAGTTGATTGGTCTTGTGTAGGAGTCTGTGAGGGAAGAGAAGAGCTCCCAATTAGCTTTTTTGTAGTTCCATCTAGGGCGGGGGTAGGCTTCAATTGGCCTGTTTGATGTTTCTATCTGGATCAGGATTGGTCGGTGGTCGCTAGTGGGTAGTTGATCTGCAACTTCTCTTTTGCATTTTTTGGATATTCCATTAGTAGCAAAAGCTAGGTCGGGGGTAGACGTGGTTAACCAAGACCTTGAGTAAAAAGTTGGTTTGTCATCAGGTTTATTTAGAAGGATGAGCCTATTTTCTGCTTGCCATTCTTCAATTTCCTCCCCTTTAGCATTGAGGTCAGGGTAACCCCAGCTCTGGGAGTGGCTGTTCATGTCTCCCACAACCAGGCACTCTTCGCTGTTTGGCAGGGAGATGCGGTCCAGTTCCAGGTCCTTATCAGGAGGACAGTAGCAATTGAAGATATTTAGGTTACCTTCTGCAAGTATGAGTTTGGTGCCCATTATCTCAGATGCTGTTGAGTTTGGTATAACGATATCTGTTGTTGGAATGTCATTTTTTATGAGAATGAGGATACCTCCTTTAGGTCTGTTTTCCCTGTCCTGCCTTATGCAGGTGTATCCTCTAATAGAAAAGCGAAGATTGTTGTTGAGGTGAGTTTCTTGAATACAAGCAACGTCTACTTTATTTTCATGTAGGAATATTTTTAAGGCTTCCTTTTTTATGAACTCCCTCTGCATTCCACTGCAGGATAACAAGATATTTGTTGTTTTCCTCACTATTTTGGCCAGTAGAATTTACCTTCTGATCCTTGCCCCTGGCTGGCCAGGCAAGACTAGAGGAACCACCAGCTTGCTTTTGTGGGCTCCTTCGAGGCGGAGAGCCCGGCCCCCTACCTGCGCGGCGGTATTTCTATTTCTTTCCTCCATCATAAAATTAAGCAGTGCGTGCCAGCATGTTATGCGCCATACTAGATGGCCCGTTGACTCCGACTTCAGCCTGCTTTTCTTTCTGGATTTGCTTCCATAGCCTTTGATCACCCAAGAACAAACTACAAGGCAGCAGCTGTTTGATTTTGGAGTTGTCTCTCCTAGATGGGTTGCTGTCCCCAGCTAACGAGCCCCATCTGTCCGGGTTTGGAGTTATAGCGCCCCATGCTCGCCGTTGAAGTCATTTCCTTGGATTTATGAGATGTTTTTTATTAGATATCCTAACCAATGGATATCCCACCTCATCCTCCATGACCACAAACCAGTTGGTCCTCGGCTGTTTATTTGGTATTCACAGCTAACCCTCATATCTAAGGGCCTCTCCCCTATCCGCCACCTGGGGACGCGCTCGGTAGGAGATGGTAGCTCCCCCAAGTTTAAAGTATTTTATATTTTATAATTATATCAAATAGGATGTGTATTCTATTTAAAAACTCATTAATATTATAATTACTCAATAATACATTATTCTTTAATTACCCTTATTAGAAATTAATATGCAAACAAGTATTATCATTTGAACATTATAACATCTGTATACAATTGAAGGTGTCGCCTCTGGTTTTCCCCGAAAAAGAGCGAAGAAAAAGTGTCGCTTCAGAAATCGGAAACGACAAGGGCAAGAACTCCTTCGGCGATGGTCTCCGTGGCGTGTTCGCCAACTACGCTGAGACGGCCACCATTAACGGCGTCAACGTCATCAACTTAGCTAGCAGCTATATCGTGAAAGCTGTCTGGGGCTTGCTGCTTGCTATAGCCATCGGGGCGATGATCTATCACCTCTACACGTGAGTAATGGTATAAAAACATTGTGTCCCAACAATTTACACTCACTTGGGCATTACCTCGCACCCCCCGTATTGTTTAAACTCACTAATTCGTACATCAACCGTCAGTCATTACCCCTGGAGTGATTACCACCCTAATATTACCATATCTGCCAATTACCCAACTCCCACTCATAAGTCATCCCCCCCCCCCCCCCCGCTCCTAAACTTTACGTACGACAATTAAACAATACAAAAAATCTTAACATTAGAGATATTTGATTTTGTTATAGTAAATCCTGCAATTAAAAAGAACAACTAAAGAACAACCATTATAAATTTAAATTTACGTAGCTGAAATTTAAAAAAAATAAAATAAAGGACAACCAATATAAATTTAAATTTGACTTAACGGAAACTTTTAAAAAATAAAAGAAAACCATTATAAATTAAAATTTTACGTAACGGAAATTTGAATAAAGATAATAAAGGACGACTATTATCAATAAAAAAAAACTAAAGGACAACCATTATAAATTTAATTTTACGGATCTGACATTTCAATTCCCTAGGACACAAGCTACACACATGCTTATCCTAATCCATCTAGATATCCCTTTACTACCCCTATGCTCATCCCTAAACAAATTCTTATCAGTTATCCTATCTAAAATAATCATTAAACTATCGCATCTCTCAGTCTCTAAATGAACAAAGGATGTGGACGGGGAGTAGGGTCGGGGGGTGTATTGACCAAGAGTAATTTCCTAATGAGAAAATCACAACTGGGGACCGGATAAATTGAAAGATTATGGATACGGCCAAACGCCTTATGAGAAGTAAAGAGGAGTGAGTCAAGTAAAGTACATGTTCTACTGCAATGTTGTTTTCTTTTTTGGTGGTGGCACGACTTTATTGCCTTGAGGATTGATGACGGGGGGGGGGGGGGGGGGGGGGAATTGAGAGGAGGGAATAATATCCTGCGCCAGTTTCGCTAAACTTAACCTAGATATACACATAACAAACAGGATTATGTGCTAGGTTTGCATGAGCTCTTTTGTAAGAGCAAGTTTAAATGTTAAGTTAATTGTTAACCTTCAATTAATGTGTTTTGGTTTATTTTTGTATGTGCGATACTAATAAAGTATGCATATCTGATCTCTATGAGCTAAATTGTCAGCGATATTTAAAAGTAATGAAGTTATTTATATCGTATAAGCAACGCGATATTGATACTTGTTAATTTGACCCTAACGATTTTTGAAATGAAACACTTTAGTGCTGCATATTTAAATACCTACGCTCAAGTCTAGATACGATTTTAAAAAAAAATGGTAAACGTAAGATTGAATTAAAATGAGAAAAGTTACCATTAATTATAACTAAAGACTTAAGTAGAATGCAACCCTTCCTTAACGTTTGACAGTAAATACTAGCCCATGAAACAGAAAGAAACGAAAACGAATGAACTTTTATCTTGGGAGATGTGTATTATTTAGTGGGTGTACATTGTTCAGTTTGGATGAAACTTAAGGTTAAATGCTGTTGACATGATCGAAATAGACTAGTTTTTTGCTTTTTTAAAGTGCAGTTTTATTTTAGTGTTTCGAGCATTGAGAATCGTGGTTTGTCGCGTTTCTTAAAGAACGTTTTTTGGAAGAAACTTTGTATTTCTTTACCTCGTTATTTGCACACTTATTGTTGTTGTTTTGTTGTGTTATTTTTTCGAGTGTTCTATCTTTCATGGCATCAGCCAGCAATGTATATTTATCTCTTTAAGACTTTTTAATAGGCTTGATAGTAATTTTATCGAATTTTGGTTAGGTTTCTTCTTCATGTTCGATCTCAAATGTAATGTTGGAAAAGCATTCCCTCCAACACAAAATTATGTATTACGTGTCAACTTGTTTTTGCGCCGTATAGACCCGCTTTTCTTTTTGGATTTTGCTTCCAAAATATGTGTCCAATCGAGAACAAATTGCATGGCATTATTTGTTTTCGGTTAGCAACCAGTGGCTTTACCAACTCGACCATGCCGACCCCCCGGGGTCGTTTTATTTAGCTGTGATTTTTACCTTTTAATTTATTTGATATACTGATGTACTAAAAGCATATGTGAAGTCTTACTCTTATAGTATTTTTATACCCAGGACGTAATATATATATATATATATATATATATATATATATATATATATATATATATATATATATATATATATATATATATATATATATATATATATATATATATATATATATATATATATATATATATATATATATATCCTAATCCATAAAAATATAGAAATAAAGCCACTCCCTCTCCACCCTACCACCAACCTACGAGAAAGATTCCCAGCTTAATTCACGACCTGTTGGTTTAAGTTCAAATTGTATTCATTCTTTTTATTGCTTCGATCTCTTTAGAATGCTTATAGAAGCCGCATTGCAGAATATCAAAACATTTGGAGCGCAGGGACCCGCTAAGCTCAGCCAAGGCTTTCTTTATATAGCCAGATACTCTATAATGCTAAGGATTAGATCGTTGATTAAAATATCGAAATGTCGGCCTACTAAATTATCGATTAAGTTCCACATTATCTGCACCGAAACAATTTAGTGTGATTGCTCCACTTGTCTGCCAACTATTTAAAAAAATGTAGATTTGATTCAGTGGGTGTAGAGATACAATCACACTCAGTAAATACCGTGTCGTTAATCCAAGGCACATCATCTAAAGAATTATGAGGGTGGTGCATTGGGCAATACTTTAGGCAAATGGAATTTTTAATTAGTCTACGGTAACTCAAGCGAAACGTTGTAAAATAGCATACTAGGCGTTAGTCTAATAATGACATTGGCCTACCACATCATTAAATGAATAATTGACCCTGTGGGTGGTAAAGGACAAGAGAACACCTTAATGCTTGAATTTTTGAGTCGAAAATAAATATTTTGAGATGAAAGAGCTCAAGTATTCAGACTATAAACCAGATTGTTGTTGTTGTTTTTTATTTTATTTAGGTGTTTTAAAAGAGGAATTTCAATGCATTTTTAAATGTGCATCAGCTAAAGTCAAACTAGAGAAATAGCGACCATTGCTTAAACTTATTTCACAAAAAAATTTGACTTCTGTATTTGTGCATTAGACTCTTCACTTTTTAACAAAAAATTGTATTGTGTTGGAAAACACCCGAAGAAGAAACTGTACTATATTTCCAGGAGTGGACATATCATTGCTTTGTGGATAACAACTTATCGAAAGGGTAGTATTTATACTGACCAGTGGCCACTCACAGCCAATCAAACTGATACCTATTTTCGACATATACTACCATATGCACAGTGGCGTAGCGAGGTCGGGTGTCACCTGGTGCGGCACTTAATAGTGTCACCCCCCAGAGGCGTAGTAACCCTTCTCGGGGACAAACTTTCAATTTGCACCCCCCTCAAAATTTCGATTTGCACCCCCCCCCCTCAAACTTTTGATTTGCACCCCCCCCCCCCTTCAAACTTTCGATTTGCATCCCCCCCTCAAGTTTTTCTCTATATATTTTGCTATTTTTTGCCTTGGTGTCACCCCCCTAAATGGTGTCACCCGGTGCGGTTTGCACCCCCGCCCCCCCCCCTCGCTACGCCTCTGCATGTGCACATATATAAACGCTGTGTTCCTTTCCTGGGGTGGTATAACATTTCAGGGGGAACGTATGGGCGGACACTGCTAAAAGTATATATTTCTTTTATTAACACGTTTTTCTTAACTCAGCTTCGCGTTTGTGGATGTGTGGATTTGTTTGTTGTTAAAATTGACATCGAAAATTAGCCCACTTCTGATTGCTCTAGAGACCTGAAATTTGGCATGCATGCTACTTT